GCAGAGTGCTCAGCGTGCACACTTACCACCAAGTGGATTTTAGAAAGTGGCAGAAGCTTAGCGTGTGCACTTACCATAACATGAATTTTGTAGAAATTCCTAAGCATCTGCTCACAGATGGCCAGAAGTACTGAGCCAAACGGGAGTGGCAAGCTCAAAGACAACCCTCTGAGGCGAGGGGAGCACTGCCTGGCAATAGCACTTTACAAGAAGGGTTCTCGCAAAACGCCACTCATACCTCCCGCTCGACGTCACAACGAGAGGGGATATCCTGATCCACAGGAAGCCCCTCGGGGCGAACCTGAATATGGCGTACCAGTCAGGGCAGCCTGAAAAGCATAAGCCCAGCCCAGATGTCCAGGAGAATTGCAGTGCTGTACCGGGGACCTAACGACCAAGAAGGCTCCCGCAGAAGCCTGTGATCGGGCCACATGATCCAGCAAGCATGAAGCCGGAAAAAGGGCTATCATACAGACTGGATACAGCATCGACATGTGAGGTCATCACTGCAAGTCGAGAACCCGGTTCTGAGTCCAGCAGAGGGGGTGCTCACTGAGGACCTACCTTAGAAATGACAGAAACACACAGGTCCCGGAAAACACTGCAAAGAAGGCTAGCAGATGGATTCACACAACCACCAGGGCATTATATACTGTATATATTTTTCAAAATGGATCGTGCTCACCCACCATGGTTCCCGCGCAGGAGCCCCATTCAAGAAGCGAAGCCAGAAGAAGCCTCTAGTCCGGCCCATCAGTAAGGTGGCTACTATATGAGATACAGAACCAACCGAAAACATCATAGGTCCAGCATAGGAGACTGCAATGCAGGCGCAGGAGGTTCCTACCTAACCTCGGTCAGGTGGAGATGATGGTGGTTACAGGGGAATTAGGAAGGGGAAGATGAGGGCAGATGTTAAACCCCCCGAGGGAGATGAGTAGATGTTCAGGTATCACTCAGATGTTCAGGTATCGAGAACGCTGACGCCTCGTCTGGATCACCTCCCTCAGGTCTTGTCTACCTCCCTTTGACCCGCGATTCCTCCTACCCCTACCCGCAGGTGGGGGAGGAGCGCGAGCCGCGACACTAGCCTTCTGTACTCGTCTCTGATCCTCAAACCGAGACGGGCCAAGACCCCTGGGTTGTTCGGGCTCAGACCTGGACCTTCATGGAATTAAGGTTTTGAAGGCCGCTGAGCGCACCTTCGCCTCCCTGAACTTCTCAACCACCGTCTCGATGAAGGTACCAAAAAGTTCGGAAGGCGAAACCGCAGCATCGAGAAGAAAGCCCCTCTCTTTCTTCCCGATATCTGCCAGGTTCACCCACAGATGTCTCTCCGTTACCACCATGGCCGCCATAGATCTTCCCATAGCAGAGGCAGCCTGCTTAGTAGCACAGACAGCAAGATCCGTGGTGCACAGATGTCTCTCCGTTACCACCATGGCCGCCATAGATCTGCCCATAGCAGAGGCAGTCTGCTTAGTAGCACGGAGAGCAAGATCTGTGGTGCGGCACAACTCAGCTACCTCATCAGGAGAAAGGCCCTCCCCTTTATTCAGGTCTTTCAGTAGATCAGCCTGATACGCCTGAAGCACCGCCATCGTGTGCAATGAAGCGACAGCCTGACCTGCTGCTGCGTATGCCCTGCCATTTAAGCGAGATGTATCTTGAAGGGGCTTAGATGGCAAGGAGGGAGTCTTAAGAGAGGATGTCTCACCCATAGAGAGATAGCTAGCCAGCGTCTCTTCTACAGGGGGCATCTTCTCATAGCCGCTTTCGCGCATCCCCTCGATGTTGGCATAACTCGTATGCTGGAACCGATGGATGCGTGACGAAAACGGCCTCTTCCATTCCTTCTCGACCTCCGTATGGAGATCAGGAAGAAAAGGAAGGCTCACCTGAGCTGGAGGGCTATGGTCAGACAGATAACGCTCGTCGAGATGACCTCGCGGCGTCACCTTCCTGGCCTTCGCCGTGGCGCAATCCATAACCTCCAGTAGCTCATCATATGCAGGGCAGGAGGATTGGGAGGGCTCAGCCTCAACTTCTTCACCCTCCTCAGACATCTCCTGCTCTTCCTGGGCCAAAACCAGCAGAGCACTGGCCCCTGGATCAGATGATGTTAGGGAAATCACATCATCATCTTCTAGCGGCTGTCGCCGGCCAACATGTTGTCGGTGTTTTTTGAATGTATGCTTCAGACACGGGTCACGTCGAGGCGTTCCCCATAGCAACCCCTAGAGGATGCAGTTCGAAGTTCCCTTGAAAGGGAACAAACGTTCTTCCAGGTACATTAATATAATGTTTTTCAAAGTTACCAGGTCTTTAATAACGTTCTCGAAACATTTTTTAAATATTGCTACCTCTTTCAGAATGTTCCCATTCAGAAGTAACATTCCCATGTCCAGTGAACTTGCCAGTTGACTGTTCTAACCTTTATAAAGCAGGACAAACAGTCAGTGGGATTTACTCCATCTATCCAGCAGGAGACATTCCTGTCTGGGTTTACTGTGAGATGATCTCAGATGGGAAAGATGAAGATAAAGGAGGATGGACGGTACAACTTTAGATCATTAAACACACATCAGCACATTCATTATGAATCATATATTCTCTATAAACCCATCACAGGTGATTCAGAGGAGAATGGACGGCAGTGTGAATTTCTATCGGCCATGGAAGCAGACATTCCATCGCTGTCTGCTCCTTTTGTACAGTGTCGTTAGAGCCTGATGGTCAGTTCGCAATGCACACTTATGCCCCTACAGATAGGTCCTCCACTTTTCCACTGCCCACACACATGCCAAAGCCTTTTTCTTCACTGTACAGTAGTGTGGCATAAGGGTGTATAGGCTTAAATTATTGAATTATCACTAGTAGCGACTACGCCACCCCTGGCTGAACATCTGGGGAAATATCAATCAACAAAAAGCTTGCTTTTCAAGCAAGCTTGTTCACTCCCACAAAATCACCAAACCATGAGGTGTGGATACGTACCAAATGAAGCTTTATTAAATCATAAATAAAACAGAGACCATGGCGATAGCAAACAGTAAAATGATGGCAAGTGACACAAAGCCACGACAATAAAGAAAAGCAATCAATCAATTAGATTAAATAAAAAAAATCTACTAACTGAGCCGGGGTGTCCCAGAAAGTGGGCAGGCTAAGCATTGCGCATCAAAACAGCCCACGATAAACCAGCCCCTTGTGAATGAAATCTCAGAAGCACCCACACACTCTAGTGAAATTACACTGCAAGGAACCTACACCCCACACTTTGGACAAAAAAAGGGGAGAGATTCTACTCTCCACACCAGATAGCCCGCCCACTCTGGCTCACCCCGCTCCTAAAAGAAAGAAAAAAATAATAATAATTACCGACAAAGTCAATATTAATACACAACAGATCACAAAATTAAATAGACTCTCAGCAAGTCAATAACAACAAAAAACAGATGGCCACCAAGAAAACTCCAAATTATCTCCAAATTAACAGCAAAAACAACTAATAATAATAACAATAATAATAATAATAATAATAATAATAAAGTAACAAAAACAGCAGTTCACACACAAAAGAAACAAAGAAAATAAGCAATAAGAAAAACCAAAGCAAAACAGCAATGTCGAGGCTAGGCCATGTCACCGAGCATGCCACCCTTGCAAAGCTAAAATACACCAAAAGAAAACAAAAGTTAAAATATATACCTTTTTGAATGCCCGTAGGGATCTAAATAATTTTACATACCCTCAACTGGACTTCTGTAACTGGTCAAATATCCGGCAAACCAATCCCTTATACTGATCACTGAACGGGAAAAGAGCACGTCGTTCAAAAGTGCCACAAACTCAAGTCATATTCTGTGCCCGCACTAATAAAAATATGCTACCAACCAAATAGAAGAGCAGTCGTCACTCCTGTCGCTCAACATGTATATGCAGTCATTTTCTTTCCAAACAGGCAATATAACAGCATTGCTGGGGAAACCAACCCTCTTAGGTAGTCATATAAACTCCCACGGACCAACACCAGCTGCACAGAACACTTATTAAACCCACGATACACATGCCAACCATGAACTAAACGCCAAACACACATACCTCAGACTCAGAGCGACGGGATTCCGAAAGTGACAGTGACGCAGTGACACGATAACGTGGCATACCTCTATTCTGGAGGATGCCCTTTATATGCACAGCGGTACCACTCAATTAACCTCCTAAGGTGTAAATTTCCCGCAAACCGGTATTCACCACAGTAGCATACTTCCTCTCAGCTGGAGTTAAGGATCTGGAGGCAAAAGTGACTGTCCGCTCTGTGTTGTCTGGATGAATTTGGGTGAACACTGCACCAAGACCATGATCTGACACATCTGTAGAGATAATGGATGGTAAGTCAGGATCATACAAAGCTAATGCTGGACTTGCCACCAACAATTGCTTCACAGTGTCAAGGCATCTCTCCGCTTCCGCACTCCACTGAATTGGTCCTTCTTGGCAGAGGCATGCATGTATGGTTCAACTACGGTAGCATAATTAGGCATACATTTATTATACCATGAGAGCATACCCAGGAATGAACGTAGAGTTGGTGCATCTTTAGGAACTGGAGCTTGTACAATTGCTTGTGCTCAGTATCTGGCTGAACTTCTTGTGCTGTAACCAAGTGTCCCAGAAAGTGTGGGCTCTTTTGCCTAGATTGACACTTTTGTTTGTTCAACCGTAGACCACCCTCCTTTAGTCGGTTCAGTGCGTCATGTTCCGCTTCCGTACTTATTTGACTTATTTTCTCGCATTTACATACTTTGACCAGTGAGTGTCGCTAGTGTGCACCACACACTGCTTTGTGAATGTATAGAAGTAATAGAAAGTTTTTCACTGATATGAGAAATTAAGTCATTATTACGAGAAACTAGTTCTACCAGAAAGACTCGGGAGGTGATTAAAATGAATCTATAGTATTTATTAATTAACAAATGAGCAGTAATTTAGTTCTTTGGCGTAGGCCCCATCCATAGCTCGAATCTGGAGAGTTGTAGAGTCTAGCTGCTGCTGCCTGATGGAGAAGGCAGGGGTGGAGCCTACCCCCCAATGCATGGACAGGGTCAACCTGGTCGTGGTGGGCAGGATGGAGGTGAATGTCGACGCCAGCATCTGCGAACACAAGAAAGAGTGAGTAGAGAACTTATATACTCTGGGTGTCGAGTGATAATTGGCTAGATCTAAATGTAATGTATGACGTAGCATTAAATCTTCCCGGTATAACTTTCACTAAAGCTTCCATTTATTAAGAGAAAGTGTCTCATTATATGTGAAATGAAGGGTTAGGGTTAGGGTTCAGAAAAGGAGGGGTCCAGGTAGGGGGCGGAGTTCAGTGGTCACATGCGCTCCTCTCTCTGGTCCAGGCCTGAGGGGTGGCGGCTTCGTCACAGCAGCTCATCTTCCCTGGCCCACAGTGCTTGAGGGGAAAAAATGGCCTGGCATCCTGGCCCGTCGACCGCGTCACGGGTGCGGTTCCATTCCGGAACGCGGGTCCGGCAGCTCGGTCTCTGGTGGCGCTTGAGTCCCTCTACGCTCCCCTCCTGGACCCACGACGACACCACGCTTTTAACAGCGGCGGTGATGAGGCTCCATTCACTTCAAGTGTGCCTCATCACACGCCGCTAGACCTGGCTGTTTCTGCGCCCCTCCTTTCTCACACACCCACTCCTGTCGGGAGCCTGGTGAAGGGTGGCGATTAAGGGCAGCCAATCCGTCACATTTGGTAATTGAGTTATTCTCTGGTCTTTTCTTGAATTAACCACAAAGAAAACGTCGTGAGTAAGTGGACGAGACCAGGGAAAAATACTGGCAACTAGGTGAAAACTGAAACAGATACAGTATAAAGAAATGCAATCGCACAAATGTATTTTAGATATTACATTAAAGTTAACATGACCATTGTCTTCATGTTCTAAGAGGAAGTCTGTGTTTCCCCTCAGCTGGCGTTTGTGTCTTTAGGGAAATTAATCTTAATGTACAATGCACTGTACAACATTAGCACGCATGATCCATGTTTTCCTTTCAAAATACATGACGTTCAATTTAAAATCTAAGGTGAACGTGCTCAAAGGTTTGATCTTCAGTAGATCTGATGTTTGAGTGGAACATAGGCTGACATTTCACAACAAACAAAATTGATTACTTTGAGGGTTGTTGACACCCAAAAAACCAATATAAGAATAAATGCAGTTCTGACACATTCACACGCAAAGCTGGAGGTCATGTGATCTGTAGCTCTTTAGCTTTTCACTAGAACACGTTCAAGACCAAAACCCACAGAGGACAAATAGCACTTACACAACATACAACGAGAACAAACTATTATTTCTTCAGAATTTACTGTGAATCCATCCCTCGATCACAACCTGAGTAAACATCTACTACAACAGCAATGAAAATAACCTTTCTAAAGCTGGAAAACTCTTCTTTTTCCTTTTCTTTCTGTAATTTGGTGGCATAATAAGAGTAATAGAGTGATGCTTTTAAACCAGGATGTGTTTCAGAAGAACATCGTAAGCCTTACTGTGCTAACGATTAAGTATTCATGTTTCCCTCTCAAATTACACAAGACATGTTCAAAATAAATGTACAAAAACACTGAAAGAAAATTCAACAGTGTGAAATATTTAATGTTTAGTTGGATGTTCATCTAACATTTTTTAAATGTTACTTCTTGTTTCAGAACATTCAGAGAGCATTCAAAAGTAACATTCTCACAATGTTTGCAGAAGAATGAAATGGAATGTTCAATTAACATTCGCATAACCAAAAAAAAACATTTTTAAAACATTTTTTTTAAAATGATAGCCTCGTGGGCAGCACACTGACATGTAGCACTGTTGTGCTTTGGGCGTCCCGAGCTTGAGTCCAAGCTCATGGACCTTTCCTGATCCTGTCCGTCTCTCTTTTACTTTGCTTCCTGTCTTCGTAGGAAAGGTTTGCAAAACGTTTTTTAAAACATATATTGTTAGCTGGGTTTGCTATCATATATCGTATTTGTCCAGCTCAGCAAGAGAATCTGTGTGCAAGTAGCCAGGCTGAGTGAGTGTGGCAGAGGCAATTTACACTTAAAAAATAAACTAAAAATTGTCATGGCTGTTTTGACCTTCGTATGAGCGATGGTGTGCGAGAGAGTGTAAATAGCCTTTGCCAACAGGACACCTACAAACAGACACCAATATTTAATTTTCATTTGTTTATTGTTTTTTTTTTAAACATAAACTACCAGTAACATTAACTTAATCTTGTAGCTAGACATCTAGAGATTCATAGAGGACATTTACATAAAGATGCAGAGGAGGAGTCTGAGAATCTGACAGATATAAGAGTGTTTGTGTCAGACTGAAGAACACAAACGGTGAGTTCCTGCTTTATTCATGATTTTCCTTACAGAATATTCAGACATTTATACAACTTTGAGAAAACAGACACATGGCATATAATATGAAATGTTTCTATTATTTTTGTCTAGATAAAACTGATCTCTGCTGTGATCTTCTGAGGAGAGATTGAGAAGATGGCAGTAAGTTCATCAATAACTCTACATTCCTAGAGATGCTTTCAGTGTGATGTTCATCTCTTTCTCTCTGTGTCTCGTGTAGATGTTGGTGTTTTTAGCGGCTCTTCTCTCTGTTGCTCTGGTGAGCGGATGCAGTCAGCATAAAGACTGGCCAGTCGACTGTTCTGACCTTTATAAAGCCTCAAGAAAACTCATTTCCATTGAGTTACTGTCCTTAGTGACGCTTCTCTTCTCTGCAGGCGACTCTTTATCTTACCATAATGGATTCAAGTTCTCCACCTTCGACAAAGACCAAGATGTCTCTGAAAATAACTGTGCCAAACAGTATCTTGGGGGATTTTGGTACTCAGCCTGTCACAATACAAACCCCAACGGTGTGTATTTATGGGGGGAAGATCCCACCCTTTACGCCATTGGAAATGTTTGGTCAACATGGAAGGGTTACACTGTCGGAATGAAATCCATCAGCATGAAGATCAAACGTGTGTCATAGAAACATTACAGTTCTTCTCAGAAATAAACAACAAAACAATCAATTTAATGTTTAATTGTTTCCTCTTTTCTATTAACTGTGTAACTTAGTAAATCATGTAGGAAAATCACTATCATAAACTTATGTCTGTTTATGAATTGTTCTTCTTTGTTTTGGGTCTCTTCTTTTAATGTGTAACTGAAATGAATCAACAATTCATATATTTTCAGTAAACTCCTGCACTGAAATCATTATGTCAGATGTGTTTATCTCCACAACAGACACCAGAAACACTAAATGAGAAATTCAGTGGAACCAGAGCTGCTGAGAAACCAATAATAAAAGGAGCATTAAAAACTCAGAAAGTGTTCTTATTACTCATACGGTAATGTAATATATGTGCATATATGAAATATCAAAATATGTAATATATGGTCATATAAAGTGAAAACATATATGAAACCTATTAGAAATTGGAACAATTCCATATATTGGCATATACATTTATCCCATTTATTATATGTTTATGTATGTGTAATACATATTTTGATATATATGTCTCATATATGAAATGTGCTAATATGCTCATATAGATGAAAAACATAAATGCTCATATAATGTAAAAACATATATGAAACCTATTAGAAATTGGAACAATTCCATATATTGACATATAACTGTATCCCATTTATTATATATGTTCATGTATGTATAATACATATTTTGACATTTGTCTCATATATAATTATAAAAACAACTTAAATGTCTTTGTATGTGTAATATACAAATTACACATCACTGACATGTCACTGATATATGTCATAGAGTCTTAGTACGGATTTCACAAACAAACAAAAATAAATGTAAAATACGTTTTTGATAATACTATGTGGTATATAAGAATTTGTGAAAAATATGGTGTGCAGATATATCTTTTAATGTTACTTATTTATTTTCTTTTTTTGTTTTGGGTCACTTACTTAGATATAGAATGGAAACAAATCAACAATAAACTGCAGCAATGATAGGCTTTATGTGTTGATGTGAATTTTTTTCATTTTCACAATAGACATCAGAAACAGTAAACGAGGAATTCAGTTCAACTGCTCACAAACCGATAATCTTTCCCTATAAATACAACCCTATATATGTAAATGAACAACATGTACTGTTCTTAACACAGACATTCTCATTTATTTGACAGCAAAAGTCCACATTTTACATCATGTTTTGTATCTTTTGTTAATTTATAAACACAAATTAACTAAAGTAATCATACTGCAACTTTATACACAAGTTCATTCAGTCTCATCTTTTTTCTGACCCCTCCTCTATCATTTCACACTTTTGTTAACAAAAACATATACAGTTCCTCTGTTGTATTTCAGGTAGCAATATGAAGCCAGAAGTTGAACGAGTCACATAGCTAATTTATTAACAATTCTTAACACACATACATCTGGCGCTCATCACTCTACTTCTCTTCTAACTCTCATCCCTTCCTACTTATCCTGAACCGTGCTAGTTCTCCCTTGTGGCCTCAGTAAGCATAACATTGAATAACAGGACACCACATCTCCCCCGTTACGTAAACAATTTCACTCAGTACCAATTACTCAAACAGTTAATAACTTCAATATGAACACACATGCATAAGCTTTCACCATATTATAACAAAGTTCCTTTGACACAACAGCATAGCAGTGATTATATTCAGTCTCCATATTCAATTTATTTACATACATACATTCAGTAATTCAAACCAAACACTGGGACCAAGGATAAGAGAGAAGAATGCCACAGTCGTCCATACGCCAATCTGTACGTGGTTGGACCTACTTGTTGTTTCTTTATTTCCACAGGCTGTGTGAACTTTGAATGTCCTTTGGGAACATGTGTTGGTTTCTGAACACGCAGTCAATTCCCACCTGAAATGTAGGCACCCGAGCCCCTCGTTTCACATCAGAGTATCGCTTCATTCTATTCTGACGAATCGACACTCGTCTGACTACCTTGTCCCGTGTGTTACTGGAGTGAGGTGTAACACAGTAAGTTTGGATCTAATTTTTCTACCATACAACAGTTAAATTCAACAGTCGTTGCATGTGGGGTAGAATGATAGGTCTGCAAAAATTCAAAATCTGCTTGTTTCCATGGTCGCTTCTGGAGAATGGCCATTTGCACAGTCCTTAAGAAACTTATTGGATCTTTCCACAGCATCACTGGCTGCAGGATGATATACAGACATCTTAGTGTGTGTGATATTCTGTTAACCCAAGAAAGCAGTAAAGAGAGGTAAGTTGCGGTCCATTATCAGTTACCAGACATTCAGGGTTTCCATGTCTGCTGAAAACAGAATTCAGGAATCCAGTTACTACAGATGTTGTATTGGAATGTGTAAACGTGTGTGAAAGGGGCTAATGACTCGTAAGCAGTGCAGGTGTTTTGAAGATGGATGTAAAATTGAACATAAGTCATTTTCTCCAGACGTCAGAGCCACTGAGGATGCAGTGGATTCGTTTTGTTTTTGATGGTAATGCGCCACCGAATACACCTAAATTTGTTTATGTCTGCGCAAATAATTTTTACTCCAGACTGCTTTCTGAACGAGCCACAATTCAAGGCAGGTTTTGCTAAAAAGTTCAAACTCAAGGATGGATCAGTACCCACGTGCTCGTGATCCAGCTGCACCTCCAGAAGAAGTAAGTCTCACACTTTATATACAGGTGCATCTCAATAAATTAGAATGTTGTGGAAAAGTTCATTTATTTCAGTAATTCAACTCAAATTGTGAAACTTGTGTATTAAATAAAACATTCTAATTTATTGAGATGCACCTGTATATATTTTTATGATTACTTGCAAATTGCCTTTCCTCTTCCATGGAAGAGAGGGGCGGGGTGAACAGAGCTCATTAGCATTTAAAGAGACATACACTGAAACGAGTCGCTGTGAACAGAGCTGTTTTTAACAAGGTAAAATGGTGTTGTTTTTACATGACCATTGAGGAATTTTAACCAAAGTATGTTACAGATATTTCATTAAGAACCTAAGGAATCATACCAACTTGTGGAAAATGAGCATCTGATGTTCCCTTTAAAACAAGAGCCCTGCAACTGCTGCTGTTAAAAAGCATTATGATCAGAAAGCAGAACTCATCTTGGACGTGTGAGACTGGTTTATTTTCATTCTTCCCATGAATTCACCATTTTGCTGATCCCAAAACACACAAGATACTACAGTAACTGAAAACAAATTAAGAAACACTGCAATAGGATTTATGCCCAATGCCACATCAACTAACAGCAGGGCTTGATAATAAGGACTGCCTGATAGCTGAGGTCAGCATGAAAGATGTGATTGGTTGATCAGGCCACTTCTGCATCATCACGAAAGTTTATCAACTTTCAAGTGATTTTAGAGCATTCAAGATAACTTCAAGATAATGCAAAAGAACTCAATTCAGTACTTGCAAACACCAAAACAAGTTCTCTTTCACATCTTTTCACGCTTGACTGGACAAATACATATAAAATTATGTCAAAATACCTGTCTTTGGCAAGTATCCTTGAAAACAGTCGGTTAGGTCTTAGGTGAACACAAACAGTTAAGAAAATATCAGATGTGTGTCAATATAATGGAACATGATCACTCTTTTCATTCCAGACAGCCAGGTAAGATGTGTGAGACCACTTGACTTACTTCCTTGTTTGATATTTATTTATTTTTCTTCTCATGCACTGATTCTCTGAACTGAACAGTCAATCTGAATGATGTCTTTCACCAACTGCCCAATGTGGATTCAACAATCAAAAAGTCGCCAACCGGGTCCAACTAGTGCCAATGGTGCAGGACACACCGTGAAAACTGCTCAGTGATGGCCTTTTGTTGCCAGACAGCCAACTGTTGGCTTAGTGTCACAGCCACAAGTAAACCACATCAGTCCCAACAATATGTGTACTCAAATCTGACACAGAGACAGTGAAGAATCATAATGAACCCCAAATCCAGCATAGAGGGGTTCGGTGAATGTGGTGTTGAATGTGTGTAAGTGTGTGAGTGTGTGTGTGTCAGAGACGCTGTAGAAGGACAGAGTGCCGGCAGACCAGTCCAGATACACTCCGGCTCTATTAGAGGATGAAGGGGCAGGTATGTAAGTTTTCTTATTATTGTGACGGATAGTGAATCTGTCATCAAAGTACCACAGACTCCAGGATTTATCATTATATCCAAACCAACAAGCTTTACGTTCTTTCCTGCTGATTCCTTTATATGACACTGCTATAATAGCAAACCTCCCACTCCATTCAGCCTCCCAGTAATGGCGTCCAGTCAGACTCTCAACACACAGAACCTGATCACAGAACTCAAATCTCTCTGGATGATCAGGATACAGCTGATGCTCATACACAAGCATTATCTTCCTGTTCTCATCAGACAGGAGGAGACGAGTGTGTGCTGTGTTTGGATCCAGTGTGAGATCACAGGCCCCTGAACACAAGAAGAGAGATAAAACAGTGTTTCTGTGGTCCATTGACCCCTATTGGTCCTTTAAGTAATTCCAGTAGGTCTGAATATAATATCTGAGTAGCATATATCATATAATTGTTTAACAATATAATATTCGGACAGATGACATGTTCCCATTAAAAAGGCAATATAACTGATGATATGGCTGAATATTGGACAAGTCAACTGACTTTAAAAGTGAATTATACTTAATTGCATTTGTTCATCACAAAGACATAAAGGATAGGTTGAGGATGGTTTCAAAGGAAGTTCGTGATTATTGATTCTCAAAAAAGCTTGAGAATCACTTATCTACAACAACAACAACAATTATTAAAGGTGTGCATGTGTTTGAAGACTTACATTTTTGTAGTCCTGGTGACATTCTGATCACTCCTCCATGATCAACACTATAAACACACAAACACACACATCTGAACTGTATCTCTCACGTTCATTATCAGGACATTCATCACAAGTAGTATTTTTTTTACTACACAATTTATTATAAGTGAAAATGTAGTAAAAATATTAAAATTCTTTTGGGATCTGCATTTTTTCCTCCATTGTCATAGATTAAAATGAACATTGCTCTTAGACTTGATGGCAAGAGATGAGAGTATGCCATAGTCAGTAGTTTGGCACTAATTAAGAAATAAATAGCGGTTTTGTGAAGAGTCATCTGAATGGTGTACACAAGGGACAGTTCTAGACCCTTGTGAAGTCTTGTTAGTTTAAACATTCAAGTGATTTTAAGCCATTTAATCGCAAGACACCGTGAAAGAGAACTCAAATCAGTACTCGTGTGATGTGAGTTTCTATGCACGGACAAAGAAAGCCACCTCTCAGACA